ATACATTTTCCCCCAAAATGTATGTATTTATTTAATTGTCGGTTGAACATGTTTATATGTGTGTACATTTTAGTATGAGTATGTGTTTGGGTTTTGAATTAACACAATTACAAATGCCAACAACACTGTATAAATATTTTTCATACATACACACAATTATACCTAATTTATACATACAACTAATCTATCTATTACATACACATTATAAATTTATTTTACCACCCACCTTATTTAAAATTTTTGTAAAAAATAAATTTTCTAAATTCTTTTCCTGCTAAAACGTGTCCTTATCAAATGAAATTAAACTGGAATTTTAAAGAAAATATTTTATAGAGAATTTTTCATACGTATACATACATGTTGGCAGATTTTTCTTTATTTATTAAATATCCACTCACGTTTTACACCGTTTAGAGATCAATTTAAGTTTATTTCAAGCTTAGTGTTTGGTTCAGTTCTAGATCAGTTCTAGTTCAGTTCTAGTTCAGCTCTAGTTCAGTTCTAGTTCAGTTCTAGTTCAGTTCTAGTTCAGTTCTAGCTCAGTTCTAGTTCAGTTCTAGTTCAGTTCTAGTTCAGTTCTAGTTCCGTTCTAGTTCAGTTCTAGTTCAGTTCTAGTTCAGTTCTAGTTCAGTTCTAGTTCAGTTCTAGTTCAGTTCTAGTTCAGTTCTAGTTCAGTTCTTGTTCAGTTCTAGCTCAGTTCTAGTTCAGTTCTAGTTCAGTTCTAGTTCAGTTCTAGTTCAGTTCTAGTTCAGTTCTAGTCTAGTGCAGTTCTAGTTCAGTTCAGTTCAGTTCTAGTTCAGTTTCTAGTTCAGTTCTAGTTCAGTTCTAGTTCAGTCTAGTTCAGTTCTAGTTCAGGTTGCTAGTTCAGTTCTAGTTCAGTTCTAGTTCAGTTCTAGTTCAGTTCTAGTTCAGTTTCTAGTTCAGTTCTAGTTCAGTTCTAGTTCAGTTCTAGTTCAGTTCTAGTTCAGTTCTATTTCAGTTCTAGATCATTTTCTAGCTCAGTTCTAGTTCAGCTCTAGTTCAGCTCTAGTTCAGCTCTAGTTCAGTTCCTAGTTCAGTTCTAGTTCAGTTCTAGTTCAGTTTCTAGTTTCAGTTCTAGTTCAGTTTCTAGTTTCAGTTCTAGTTCAGTTCTAGTTCAGTTCTAGTTCAGTTCTAGTTACAGTTCTAGTTCAGTTCTAGTTCAGTTCTAGTTCAGTTCTAGTTCAGTTCTAGTTCAGTTCTAGTTCAGTTCTAGTTCAGTTCTAGTTCAGTTCTAGTTCAGTTCTAGTTTCAGTTCTAGTTCAGTTCTAGTTCAGTTCTAGTTCAGTTCTAGTTCAGTTCTAGTTCAGTTCTAGTTCAGTTCTAGTTCAGTTCTAGTTCATTCTAGTTAAGTTCTAGTTCAATTCTAATTCAGTTCTAGTTAAAATTTATTGAATATAATAATTTATCTCAGATCCCTAACTAAAATCTTTTTGCTCTTATTTTTTTTTGCTCTTAATGGGAAACAGTGTAAATTATTTGAATTGTTCATATTCATAGTACATTATAAAGAGTGTTATTTAAAATGTAGTAAAATAACATGTGTGTTTGTATATTCATAGGTAAAGCAGAACATTTTTTATATACAAATTACAATTTCATTTACATTCTCCATCATAAAAACTGGAACGTTCATTGTTTCCTGCAGATCGGAAGGACCGTCCTCAAACTATTGACATTTTATAACCACAGATTACTGACAGAACTGTGACATAATATTTCGGAATATTAATTTTCTAGCAGGTTTTCAAGTAAAATAAATATTTCCTAATAAATATTAAAAATACAAACGTACTTGTCATGTGATCTAATACATTTGTTAGAAATTAAAAAAAAATATATATGTATGTAAATGGTATACATTGACTTCTTCTAAAACTTCCAGGATATAAGTTCCTACATCATTATCATCACCATGATGATGGTGTTGTTGGTAGTAAAAGTATGAATATTTTTATTTAAATTGTATTATATAGTAAAAGGTTGAAGGTTGCCAAATTACAACAATTTATCTACAATCTAAATGTATATAATAAGGGTGTTCAAAAACAAGTCAGAAATAATTTGAAATAAGAACTATGTAGTACAATTTATATGACATTTTAGAATACACTACTTCTTGGAAATTATCAAAAGCAGAACCGTCTTAATATCTTTACATACACTCTCATACAGATTTAAAATGTTATAAGTGTAATAGAGTCAAATTATTATAGTATTTTAATTCCATAAGTGTTTGAATGTGAATGAATGACTAAATGAGTAAACGAATGAATGCTTATGTGTGCTTAAAATATCCATACATACATACATATATATGTATGTATTTGTATGCTCTGCTTAAATTTATTCATTCATTTATTTATATTTAATTTTTTCTCTCTATCTCTATCCTTTATACCAATTGGGATTTGAATAAATTTAATAGTTTTAAACAACTTAAATTGGTTTTCTTTTCAACAGGGCTTTTCTTATAAAGTCAGTCGAACATGTACATATATAAAATTTTTATATTTAAATAGTTCTATCCGTATGTGGGTGTTTCCTGAACATTTACATAAACATAGTTTAATTATCAGCATTATCATCAACAGTGTTTATAATTAATTGCCTTAATTAAATTGTTATATTTTAAATAAAGGATAATATATAGAATATTATATGTTACCTATGTATGTATAATAATATTATTTTGTTCTATTCATTTCCAAATAATGTTTTATTATGCTATTATGTTATTTGTTGTAAAGTTTCACAATGATTATATTCTATTTAAATATGTTAATATACAGATACATAAATAAATATTTTATAACAAATGCAAAACTCTGTATAATTAGTTAATAACACTTTATTATAAATGACTTTCTTAGATGTTTTTATTATTTTAGACTGACTTATAGTAGCAATAGACTAATCACAAACATACATACTTACAACTAAAGAACAGAACCAGAACTGAATCCGAACTGAACTAGAACTAACCATGAACTGAACTGCAATTGAATTAGGATAAACTAAGAACTAGAATTGAACTAGAACTGAACTACAACTAGAACTGAACTAAAACTAGAACTGAACTTAAACTAGAACTGAACTAAAACTGAACTAGAACTGAACTAGAACTGAACTAGAACTGAACTAGAACTGAACTGGAACTGAACTGGAACTGAACTAGAGCTGAACTAGAACTGAACTAGAACTGAAGTAGAACTGAACTAGAACTGAACTAGAACTGAACTAGAACTGAACTAGAACTGAACTAGAACTGAACTAGAACTGAACTAGAACTGAACTAGAACTGAACTAGAACTGAACTAGAACTGAACTAGAACTGAACTAGAACTGAACTAGAACTGAACTAGAACTGAACTAGAACTGAACTAGAACTGAACTAGAACTGAACTAGAACTGAACTAGAACTGAACTAGAACTGAACTAGAACTGAACTAGAACTGAACTAGAACTGAACTAGAACTGAACTAGAACTGAACTAGAACTGAACTAGAACTGAACTAGAACTGAACTAGAACTGAACTAGAACTGAACTAGAACTGAACTAGAACTGAACTAGAACTGAACTAGAACTGAACTAGAACTGAACTAGAACTGAACTAGAACTGAACTAGAACTGAACTAGAACTGAACTAGAACTGAACTAGAACTGAACTAGAACTGAACTAGAACTGAACTAGAACTGAACTAGAACTGAACTAGAACTGAACTAGAACTGAACTAGAACTGAACTAGAACTGAACTAGAACTGAACTAGAACTGAACTAGAACTGAACTAGAACTGAACTAGAACTGAACTAGAACTGAACTAGAACTGAACTAGAACTGAACTAGAACTGAACTAGAACTGAACTAGAACTGAACTAGAACTGAACTAGAACTGAACTAGAACTGAACTAGAACTGAACTAGAACTGAACTAGAACTGAACTAGAACTGAACTAGAACTGAACTAGAACTGAACTAGAACTGAACTAGAACTGAACTAGAACTGAACTAGAACTGAACTAGAACTGAACTAGAACTGAACTAGAACTGAACTAGAACTGAACTAGAACTGAACTAGAACTGAACTAGAACTGAGCTAGAACTGAACTAGAACTGAACTAGAACTGAACTAGAACTGAACTAGAACTGAACTAGAACTGAACTAGAACTGAACTAGAACTGAACTAGAACTGAACTAGAACTGAACTAGAATTGAACTAGAACTGAACTAGAACTGAACTAGAACTGAACTGGAACTGAACTAGAACTGAACTAGAACTGAACTAGAACTGAACTAGAACTGAACTAAAACTGAACTAAAACTGAACTAGAACTGAACTAGAACTAAACTAGAACTGAACTAGAACTGAACTAGAACTGAACTAGAACTGAACTAGAACTGAACTAGAACTGAACTAGAACTGAACTAGAACTGAACTAGAACTGAACTAGAACTGAACTAGAACTGAACTAGAACTGAACTAGAACTGAACTAGAACTGAACTAGAACTGAACTAGAACTGAACTAGAACTGAACTAGAACTGAACTAGAACTGAACTAGAACTGAACTAGAACTGAACTAGAACTGAACTAAAACTGAACTAAAACTGAACTAGAACTGAACTAGAACTAAACTAGAACTGAACTAGAACTGAACTAGGACTGAACTAGAACTGAACTAGAACTGAACTAGAACTGAACTAGAACTGAACTGGATCTGAACTAGAGCTGAACTAGAACTGAACTAGAACTGAAGTAGAACTGAACTGAACTAGAACTGAACTGAACTAGAACTGAACTAGAACTGAACTAGAACTGAACTAGAACTGAACTAGAACTGAACTAGAACTGAACTAGAACTGAACTAGAACTGAACTAGAACTGAACTGAACAATTAAATAAAATATCAAATCAATAATTTCATCCATGTGTAATTAAAATTTAAACAAATCGTCTCTTTTTTTACAATCTACTTGCAGAACAACTCACATTCTCTAATGAATTACAAATTTATTATTTTATGTCGGGCAAAAATGTTTCATAAATGATGCCAGAAATTGAATGTGACATTGTGGCAGCCACAGCAACAACAGAAATGGTTAGTGGAGCAACACATGTACCAATATTCGAGACAACAACAACAAACACAGTAGCACAAAAGCTATATAACCCTCATCATCTACAACAGCAGATACAGCAACAACATTATTATCAACAGCAAAATCATTATAATAACATTGCTAGTGGTAACTACAAGTTGCAAGAATATCATCATCAACAGCAGCAACAACAACATAAAATGGCAACAAGTTCATATGTGTATCGTAGTCCTTTAACGATACCACCCGTAGCTTCACATACAATGTATGATAATATCAACAGTAGCAATAATAGCAACAGCAACAACAACAATAATAATTGTAGCACAATCAACAATAACAACATTGGTAGTCACAGCAACAGCAACAATATGTTAGAAACCTATAATAACAATTATAATCATACAATGAATTTAGCAACAACTACACCTGCACCTTCGAGTCAGAATATGGCAGCAGCAACAACAACACATAATAATGCAACAGCAGAAGCATTATCACCAGCAGCAACAGGTAGTTGTGGCATTGCAACTTCTACTACACCAACAACAGCTAGTCCTAATCAATACAATTCTAAGGAAAAATTCCCTGACTTACAACAACAGCAAACAATGATGCCAACAGCGAACACAACATTTTTACAAAAATCTTTAGAGGCTCCTATTAAACAAATTAATTACACTAATGGCTATGCAGGCAGTGGAGCAGCGGGAGGAGGCAAACATATGTCAACCCCTCCACCACCACCTGTTGGAATACTTGCAAAAACGCCACAACAAAGGCAATCACACTCTCCCAACGTTTCAACCGAAGCCCATTTGTTAGCTACAAATATGGCAACGCCACCATCGTGGCATCCACATGTTTATGCCCGTCCACCTAACCGACCTACTCCTCACACCATAGCGGATATTTTAGGATTACGTGATAGCAACAACATCTCATTGACCACAACATTACTCAATTCTAGGCTAACACATGATACTCAAGACGAATCTTCAAATTCGTCCGCCACAAATATACCACCTGCCCCCGCAAAATCACCAAAAAGTATTTTACGCAACTTTCAACAACAATATTCCGCACAAATCAATCAATATGATCAGTCTCAGCTGCGCAGTGCTTCGGTGAGTGAGACCAGCGAAGATGATCAAGTGGCGACAAGTATTGCTGTGGGTTCAGATTTAACACCAATGGCTCCGCAACCAATGGATCAACCGCTAAATTTATGTGTGGCCAAAAAATCAAGAGATTCTTTGTCACCACCTCCTGCCGTAAAACAAAATCAAATTTTGGGTATAACCACTGATCGGGAGAAGACAACTTCGCTTTTGGGAAAACACCTAAAGAAAGGTAAGTTTATTAATGTGATATTTTTATTATAAATAACTAGATAGGAACTAGAATAGAACCAAAACAGAAATACCTACAGTAGAACTGGAACATACTGAAAAAATGAACAAAACTTAACAAGAACAGCACAAGAACAGAACTTAAGCAGAACTAAAATTAAACTAGAACAGAACAAAAAATTATACTAGAACAGAACTAGAACAGAACAAAAACAGAACTATAACAGAACTAGAACAGAAGTAGAACAGAAGTAGAACAGAACTAGAACAGAACTAGAACAGAACTAGAACAGAATTAGAACAGAACTAGAACAGAACTAGAAAAGAACTAGAACAGAACTAGAACAGAACTAGAACAGAACTAGAACAGAACTAGAACAGAACTAGAACAGAACTAGAATAGAACTAGAACAGAACTATAACAGAACTAGAACAGAACTAGAACAGAACTAGAACAGAACTAGAACAGAACTAGACCAGAACTAGAACAGATCTAGAACAGAACTAGAACAGAACTAGAACAGAACAAGAACAGAACTAGAACAGAACTAGAACAGAACTAGAACAGAACTAGAACAGAACTAGAACAGAACCAGAACAGAACTAGAACAGAACTAGAACAGAACTAGAACAGAACTAGAACAGAACTAGAACGGAACTAGAACAGAACTAGAACAGAACTAGAACAGAACTATAACAGAACTAGAACAGAACTAGAACAGAACTAGAACAGAACTAGAACAGAACTAGAACAGAACTAGAACTAGAACAGAACTAGAACAGAACTAGAACAGAACATAACTAGAACAGAACTAGAACAGAACTAGAACAGAACTAGAACAGAACTAGAACAGAACTAGAACAGAACTAGAACAGAACTAGAACAGAACTAGAACAGAACTAGAACAGAACTAGAACAGAACTAGAACAGAACTAGAACAGAACTAGAACAGAACTAGAACAGAACTAGAACAGAACTAGAACAGAACTAGAACAGAACTAGAACAGAACTAGAACAGAACAGAACAGAACTAGAACAGAACTAGAACAGAACTAGAACAGAACTAGAACAGAACTAGAACAGAACTAGAACAGAACTAGAACTGAACTAGAACTGAACTAGAACTGAACTAGAACAGAACTAGAACAGAACAGAACTTTTTTAAATTCGTTAATTTTTATCATATAAAATTTATTGATTTTCTAACTCATTTGCAACCACAATTAATTTATTATTTTAAACTTTGACATTTCCATTTCCAAGGAGAAATATTTAATTTGCAACCTGAGACCATATTTTATTTTTCATACCAAAAATAGACACCACAACTTTGTTTTCAAAGTGACAAAAACTCTATGTTTTTCCCCCCCTGCTAATGATTTTAAAAATTCCTTTAGATTTTTAATGACACATCATATTTTTGTTTAAACAAGCATTGTGAGATAAATAAAGCAGAATATATGCCATTTAAATGAATGTGTTTAAAAAAATATAACTCATTTTTTTCAGTCTTTTTTTGGTTGCTCCACAAGTGACACAATTTTAAAATGATCACAACAAAATTAACAAAATTGTAGAGAAAACATTAAATAAAGATTAAATGTGATTTAACTACAAAGAAAATATAAATAAATGAGAAATGAAAAATTATTTAAATCATTTAGTGTTTGTTTGTCGACAACGTCACAAGTTCCAACAAAAAAAAAAAAAAAACAGAAGATTTTTTTAGTTTTTTTTTTTTAAGGAGGGAATGAAATGCCGAAACAATAAAAATAAAAGACAACATAAAAATGAATTTAAATATGAGTTCATCATCTTTTGAATCTTCAAAAGACTGCCAGATCGTTGTTCGTTACTCATAAAAAGAATGATATTTTGGAATCTTTCCTTCTTTTTGTATTTTGTTTATAATTTTCGGCCACAAGTGAGTTTGAAAAACTATATGAATTTTGTACAACAAAAAACAGGCATGTGTCGTATATGGGTGGGGGTAGAGAACAGAACTTTAAAATATAAATTCTTTTTAAATATAAATTATTTAAAATATATTTTAATTTTAGTTCACTGAAATAGTTTTTCTACAACTTAATAGTTCTCTAATATTTTTTATTTACTGCTTCAGCATTACTTCTTATAATGCCTAACTTAAATGAAAACATTCCTTATCTGCTCTGACTCTTCAAATTTATTAATAATCATGAATCTCGACAAAAATATGTTTTCTTTTTGGTTGTAGAAAGAAATGAAAGAAATTCCCACTATAAAGCATAAATTTGAAATTCTTCTAGTGTTGATTTTTTTGTTGACTTTTTGCGTTTGTTTTGTTTTTGTGTTTTCAAATTAAAATTAATTTAATTGTTTTCATATTAGAATGTCATTTTAAGATTAAATGTTGAAGAATTTATTTTATGCCTTTTAGCTAAAAATAAATTCTTCATATTTTAGCACACGAGTTTTTTATTCTCCTTTAGTATTCATTTCTTAATTTTATCAAATTAGTTTTTTGAAAAATTGTTTTGGTTTATGCTATACATTCAGTCTCTCATTTAATTTGTTCATTTAAATTTAAGTGGCTCAGTAGGTTGTTATTTCAGATGATTAAGTTCCTGCAGTCTTTTCGTGTTTTGTATCAAATTATAGATGACTGATTTCAAAAACTAAGCATCATCTTCAACGTTAAACGTTTTTTTTTTTTTTTTTTTCGTTTTAAATTCAGATGATTCATAATGGGAGCAATTGATGAGTTCATAGACATTTCAATGCAAATCTTCAAATCTGTGCATAAGAATACATCAAAAAGGTCCTTTTGTGTAATTTCAAGTTTAGTTCTGTTCTAGTTGTACTAGTTCTGTTCTAGTTCTGTTCTAGATGCTGTTCTACTATTCTGTTCTAGGTCTGTTTCTAGTTTCTGTTATAGTTCTAGTTCTAGTTCGTAGTTCTGTTCTAAGTTCTGTTCGAGATTCTGTTCTAGATCTGTTCTAGTTCTGTTCTAGTTTCTGTTTCTAGGTTCTGTTCTAGTTCTGTTTCTAGTTTCTGTTCTAGTTCTGTTCTAGTTCTGCTTCTAGTTCTGTTCGTGTATTTTCTGTCTAGTTTCTGTTTCTAGTTCTGTTTCTAGTTCTGTTCTAGGTCTGTTTCTAGTTCGGTTCTAGTTCTGTTCTAGTTCTGTTCTAGTTCTGTCTAGTTCTGTTCATAGTTCTGTTTCTAGTTCCTGTTCTAGTTTCTGTTCTAGTTCTGTCTAGTTCTGTTCTAGTTCTGTTCTAGTTCTGGTCTAGTTCTGTTCAGTTCTGTTCTAGTTCTGTTCTAGTTCTGTTCTAGTTCTGTTCTAGTTCTGTTCTAGTTCTGTTCTAGTTCTGTTCTAGTTCTGTTCTAGTTCTGTTCTAGTTCTGTTCTAGTTCTGTTCTAGTTCTGTTCTAGTTCTGTTCTAGTTCTGTTCTAGTTCTGTTCTAGTTCTGTTCTAGTTCTGTTCTAGTTCTGTTCTAGTTCTGTTCTAGTTCTGTTCTAGTTCTGTTCTAGTTCTGTTCTAGTTCTGTTCTAGTTCTGTTCTAGTTCTGTTCTAGTTCTGTTCTAGTTCTTCTAGTTCTGTTCTAGTTCTGTTCTAGTTCTGTTCTAGTTCTGTTCTAGTTCTATTCTAGTTCTGTTCTAGTTCTGTTCTAGTTGTGTTCTAGTTGTGTTCTAGTTCTGTTCAAGATCTGTTCTAGTTCTGTTCTAGTTCTGTTCAAGATCTGTTCTAGTCTGTTCTAGTTCTGTTCTAGTTCTGTTCTAGTTCTGTTCTAGTTCTGTTCTAGTTCTGTTCTAGTTCTGTTCTAGTTCTGTTTCTAGTTCTGTTCTGTTCTGTTCTAGTTTCTGTCTAGTTATTTCTAGTTCTGTTTAGTTCTGTTCTAGTTCTGTTCTAGTTCTGTTCTAGTTCTGTTATAGTTCTGTTCTAGTCTGTTCTAGTTCTGTTCTAGTTCTGTTCTAGTTCTGTTCTAGTTCTGTTCTAGTTCTGTTCTAGTTTCTGGTTTTTCTGTTCTGTTCTAGTTCTGTTCTAGTTCTGTTCTAGTTCTGTTCTAGTTCTGTTCTAGTTCTGTTCTAGTTCTGTCTGTTCTGTTCTAGTTCTGTTCTAGTTCTGTTTAGTTCTGTTCTAGTTCTGTTCTAGTTCTGTTCTAGTTCTGTTCTAGTTCTGTTCTAGTTCTGTTCTAGTTCTGTTCTAGTTCTGTTCTAGTTCTGTTCTAGTTCTGTTCTAGTTCTGTTCTAGTCTGTTCTAGTTCTGTTCTAGTTCTGTTCTAGTTCTGTTCTAGTTCTGTTCTAGTCTGTTCTAGTTCTGTTCTAGTTCTGTTCTAGTTCGTTCTTGTTCTGTTCTAGTTCTGTTCTAGTTCTGTTCTAGTTCTGTTCTAGTTCTGTTCTAGTTCTGTTCTAGTTCTGTTCTAGTTCTGTTCTAGTTCTGTTCTAGTTCTGTTCTAGTTCTGTTCTAGTTCTGTTCTAGTTTGTTCTAGTTCTGTTCGAGTTCTCAGTTCTGTTCGAGTTCTCAGTTCTGTTCGACTTCTCAGTCCAGTTCGATTCTGTTCCAATAAATTTTCAGAACAGTATTATCGGATAAAAATCGCTGAATTAGCATTAGTTGTTTTTTCTCAAATAGTTGATTTTCTTTTTTTCACAATTTGTTTTATTGCTGTTTGGAATGAAAACAGCAAATAGTTGAACAAACAATAGTTTATTGATGTTGTTGTATGTATGTTCGAATAGGGCTTTTAAGCTTATTTATTTCTTGTTGTTGTGTATGTATTTTAATGTTGTTATTTAATGAATTTTCAGTGCAGAATGTGTTTTTTTTTTTTTTTTTTCTTTATTTCCTTAAATTGAAATGTGTGATTATTATTGCTGTATAGTGTAGACTGTTGACTGCATTTTTTGAATTATGGTCGATTACAACTTAATGTGTTTGTACGTATTGAATGATGGATAAAATGAAATATTAACGGATTTTTATTTAATTTCACTATAGTATTGTTTTGTTTAAATAT